GTTTCGGGTGGTTGCAGATGAATTCTCTTGGTGAACATTTTTGTCCTCATCAATATCCTCATTATCATCCTACTGTGGGTCCAGGAAGTCCCAAATATTTTTGTGTAATATGAATTCTACTACTTCCCAACCACCCCTCGCCTATGGATCTTCTAGGTAGAATACTTGTTTCGCCATATTGGGAAGACGTAGGGATTATCCTCAAATCACCGGGTGTTTGTGTTTACCGATAACAAGTACATATCTTAAATGAGACTAGTTGCTTTGTCTAGGTTCATACCATACCAATGACACTTGAACAACATTACCTCCTTGTAGTTTGTGTATAACAATTGAACCACACTTAAAAGTCTACTAAAAAATGGGTATTCTCATTTACACCCGAGAAAAAACTCCACCTATTTTGATCAGTGCACAATTTATTGTCTCGGTCAGTTGTTAAGAATTTAACTTCGTTCATGTGACAACCAGCGTACGTTTCGACTTTAACAGGATCGCATATAGCAAAATCTAACTACCACTAAATATGTAAGTTTTTGCAAAAGACAATCAATTTTACTTAAAAATAAAAAAAAAACTTACATGCTCAGCAAACATATGCAGAAACAATTGTCTGTAGATTTCAACCCAGGTTGAAGGATATTGGGTCTTCATCAATGCCTCATGTTATTCGAGGAATGGTAAGACTTCATCACAATTGTTTAATATGAACAAGTAAGCCACCTCCAAGTGAACTTCTTTGAACAATTCAAACAAAGGTCATTTGCCGAATGAGCTTGATGGTTCATATAAGAAATATTAACAAATGTACTGACAAGATCACCTCTCTTACTATAGATGTATCATTACGTGAACCATACTTGTGAAAAAAATACCAGTGGATATATTTGCTCTACCGGGCATAGATGTACCCAATATCTTCGATCATTTCATTTACATCTGGCTTTCGTAACATTCAAGCATATAGTTTATGAAAGAACCAAGACAAATATACAACCACCTCAACAATATCGGGGTTCAACTAGGGCCGAATACCAATCGGAATGAGCCGCTGCAGTAAGATGACAATCATGACTCTTAAAATCTGACATCGTACTAGTGTCCATTTTAACATATCTTGATATATTGCTAGCATACCCATCTGTAAATTTCACACCGTCTAGCCACTTCAAGAACTTCTTGTTGTCATTTAGATTAAATGTATAATTTGCGTTCTTTTTCTTGTATTTACTATTCACTAATCTAGACCACAAGTTGGACCTTATGCCCATTGCTTGGATAAAAATACGAGTCTTCATGGTGTCCTTCGATTTTCCCTCATTAGGCAGAGTTGTTCCCACCATGTTATTGCAAACAATTTTCTCAATATGAATAGAATTAGCAATGTGTCGGATTTTCAATTTTGGCCTGTATTCCAAGTGAAAAAATATACTCTTTTGTGTCTAATTTAGTTGTTCCACTGGTCTTGATCCTTCCCTAAATTAGAGCATATTCAACTGAGACAATATCTCATCTCCGGGTAGTTCTCTTGGTTTAGGCCGACACATTGTTGTCCCATCAAATGTTTCAGGCTTGTTACGCCACTCATGATCCCAAGGGAGCCACCTTTGATGACTCAAGCAGTATACATTTCAAGCATGCCCAAAAGACAATGTCCTCATCGTATGTTGGGCAATGCCATATAACCTTTGGTGCTCCATCCTGACAACATACCATAAGTTGGGAAATCATTAATTATCCACATAAATGTGACTCGCTAAATTAACATTTCCTTAGTGGGCCTGTCATACATTCATACCTCATTTTTCCATAAATCTATCCTCATCAATCAACGGCGGAAAATAAACATCAATGGAATCATTGGGTGATCTGGGCCCTAGGTATTAAAAGACTCGTGATCGTAATTTCTTTCTTAATGCACCTTCTGGGGGTGTGTTATAAGGAAGAACCACTGGCCAAGAGATGTCCTTATTCGAAAAACTTCAAAACAGATCGAAGCTATTAGAAGCAAGTCCTAACCTGACATTCTTGGCTCTAGGGCAAAATCGAGATAGATTTTACCACATTTTGTCCATGCTTCATCAGCCAGATGACGCAAAACATCATTGTCACCCTCCTTATGCTACCCTATATCAAATGCAGTGTGGGTCACAGTACATTCTCTGTATTCTTGGCTTAAGTGGAAAATAACGCAACACCATGTTTGGAATGTTGTTCTTTCGACATTTCGCTTCGTTGTACTTGGGACAACTATCTAATTTCTTGAATTCACCATAAAGCAATACACAATTATTCTTACGTGCATGGATCTTGTATATTCCAACCCAAGATCTTTCAAGATCCTGTTCAATTGTTCATATTACACTCTACTTTCATGTGCACCAACTCTACAACGACTATTAGGACGGAAAAAAATCTTCACAACAAAGGTACAATTCTCATTGAGCTTCCTTTTAACATTTTATCGTACTTCTTGGGGTCTATGGACGGCTTTTAGTCCATATTGAGTGAAGCATTAGGGAAAGCATCATTCAATATGTCCATCACTTGATCGTCGTCAACATTGCCAGATGAAGAAGGTTCATGCCTCACTGTCCCATTGCCGAAATACGTTGACGCTGTAATGGCCGATTCTTTATAATAATAAGTCCAATTGGAATAAGTGTGCATCATGCCATTAATATACAAGTGATATCGGACGTCGTCTAGTGTCATCTAAACACATTGTTACATTTCACACAAGGACACGTCATCCGATTCTAAGCACTGACATGATTGCTTACAAATTGAATAAAGTTGTTGAGCCCATCTAATATTGGTCACAATTTCTATCTTGCAACTTGATTAACTCTTTGTCCGTTGTGTATATTTTGAGAGAATTTAGTCATTATAATGATTTGATATTTGCTTCAACGCCCCCCATATGCCTCAGCTAATGATCCTATCCCATTCGAAAGTGCACTTTATGTTTTGTGGTTTGCAACTCACATGACTATTTCTGATCGTAAAAAATTTGGCAGCGTCTCTCAGGGGTTCCCCAAGTGGACGACGTAGATATTTTGAACAAATATCTAGTATGCACTCGAAGAACATTAGGGGAAATAACTGAATTTTCCACGAACTTAGCCACGTTCACCGCAAACCCTAAACACATACTAGTCCATTCAAAATTGTTCAAACTGGACAATGCAATAATCAGTTAGATTGTGGAGCTGCATATTGCATCTACACACGCATCCAAAAGATTGTCAAACAAGTCTAAGGTTTTTTCGAATTTATTGTACGAAGTTAATTATGTTGATTAACTTCGTATAAACAGTTATGAAATTTAAAAAAAAAATCACACCATAACTTTCACAAATCAAATTTACCTAAGCTACATAGATATCACAATTAAACAAAATCAAAATTTCACATAACACACAATTTCAACATATATAAATATTACAACTAAACAAATACAAACTTGCTATTTTGTAATTAAGAGGCAAATGCATACTGTTTGGGAAATTTTCTTCCAATCCAATCACAAACCTACAACAACCAAAATTAATAAATCACACATTTAGGTAAAAAAATATTCAACAAATAAAAAGAAAACAGCCTTAAATTAATTGGGAAAGGGAAAGATGGAGGAGAAGGGTGTGTGAGTGTACAAACCTATTTGATGAATACAGGTTTGCCCGACAAATCTTTCTGTCGGGCAACCACTAAGAAAACGTCGAGTAAAGTTTCGTTAGATAGATTTTTTAAACGTCATTGTGGGGCCTTTGGCCAACGACATAAAAACTTGGGCCAACGAACCGAATTGTCGGGCAAAGATAACCTAGCTGTCGAACCTCCATTTCGTTGGGCAAAACCTTCTGATATTACATGCCATTTTTCCCCTTTTCGCGCCAAAACATTGCTCGACGAATTCCACCTTGCCCTACGATTCCTCTCCTTGCATAAAGGTTTTCAGTAAACCTTGAATGTTGACCAGCTTTTAATAACATTAATAAAATTTACTATGAGTTTGTGCTATTTATGAGGCTAGTTTTCTATTTTATATATGGAAACAATATCTTATATTCTAAACCCTAGGCTAGCTTTCTAAAGTTTTCTAACTCCTACATACTTCACTATGGACGACCTAATTAAAGATCAATAACAAGTAGAGGAGAATGTCATTTTTGTGAAAGAATTGTGCGACAACATAAGACTATATATGTTGTGAGACTGTATAACGTAAACATTGACAAATTTCATTCATTTTTCAACAGGATGTTTATTTTAGTATCAATATAAGTATAGCAGGATAACACCATCAACCGACCAACAAGCATTTATGTATACTCTACAATTTACTTCACTATTTTAGTTTAGAGAAGCCGGAGTCCTAGTCCTAGGCTTGGGCTACATGCTCTTGACTGAGAATATGATTGCATTAGGAAAGAAAATACATACGCCAAAAAATATATTGAATACAGCGCTTTTCTTTCTCACTTCCATACTGGATGTTCTACTGCAAAAGAGTTAAACGTTTTGTATGTTAAACCCACGTTTCTAAAATCTTTAACCTTTTGAAGTTAATACAGCCCGGCATAAAAGACAGATGTGTTGCGTAAAAAGTTTTTGAATTGTATTTGTTATTGTATTTGAATTGTTTTTGAATGTACGGTTAATTGTATATACATTATATTATTGTCTTGCATATTCATGTTTCTATGTTTTCGTATTATCTCTCTTATTATTGCTCATTTTATTTAGGAAATAAATTTCAAAATATATATAGTTGATAGCCATAAATTTGAAAATTTAAAATAATCTACTGATACAAAATACATTGATGATCATTACCATCACTTGAAGATAGTGAGCAAAAATCCACCCATTTTATTTAACTTAGTGTAGCGAAAGCATGACAGGTACTTGATTATGATCGATAAAGATGCAAAACACTATTTTTCGTCATAAGCATATTACGATGCAGACCGTTTGAAAAATATATGTTCATTCTTCACATGGATAATTGATATATACTAATGAGGACAATATCAACAGATTACAAAAGGATTTCTTTTTCATTATACCCATATAAAATCACGTCACTAGAAAGAAAAAGAAAAAGCTAAAAGAACCAAAAAGAAATAAAGGGTAAACAAGAAAAGGAAAGCACCATCTTGTCAAAAGAAGTTCAGTTGGTGCACAGTGTCAGCCTGTGTGCATTATGATCTATGACTGTCTGTCCACGTAATCTCTATTCAATTAAAGTTGTTGACTCCCATGTGCATGCAAACCCCAAAATTTGTCCTCTTTCATTTGTCCTTCAGTTCAATTTCATGGTGACCGAAAAAAATGGTCGCGTACTCGTGTATAGAAGTATAGAAGTCTTTCTCCCTCGCATTCTCTTGTCTGAGATATATATCAGCCAAATTATTCCATACCAAAAATTGGTGTCTGAAAGAGGTTAGTCTTTGCATGAGTGTGAAATGTGTGAAGACTTGGCCCAGTCCAAGTTCCATAACCAGAAGAAGTTTCATAACCATTGTTACTATTTAAGGCAATGGTTGTAGCAAATGGGATTAAATCAGTACCAGTACCAGTACTGGTACTTTGTTCTTGTTGTTGGTGTTGCAATTGTTGTTGGTGTTGCTGGCCATCTACATTGAAGTTACCATAGTACGCATTGTTGGTTTCGGAGACAGAAGTACGAGAAGTTGAAGAGAAGTCCATGTTGAATGGTAGTGGTGACGAGTTGTTTCCATAAGATCCATTGGCACAAGATTGGAACAAGGATGATGTTGGTGCATCTAAAACAGTGCTAGGATTTTTGACATTGCTTAGAGAAAGGTTGTTGCCGAAAATGTTGGACCAGTAATCTGATGCTGAGTCTTGTTTTAGGGGGATTGCAAAGTTTAGTGTGGAGGACCTAGGTTGTTGAGATGCAAAGATCACTGAGGATGCGAAGGAGAGATCTCGATCATCAGCTGAACGGTTACCTTCGATGCTCTTGCTATCAGAATCGGATGAGTTTTTGGATTTTCTGGACATTCCACCTATGGGAAGGTTGCTGTTGGCAATGCTCTTCACGTCGTAGTGGCTCATATCAAAGTTGGTCACGGCGTTTAGGCCTCGGAACTTAATGGCCGCAATGTCATAGGCCTCAGCTGCTTCTTCTTGAGTGGCTGTTCGACACAAATTAATTAAAAGTCCTTATCAATTAGCAACACAATCAAATATGGTTTTAAACCCTTGAACAATTTGTTCGAGGAAAAAAGTTAAGGGAATTACTGAAAGTGCCAAGGTAGAGATCTTTGTTGCCTGCAACCCTTCCTATTCTTGCCTGCCATCTTCCATGTTGATGATACCTGAAATAAATTCGGTTTTAATTAAAAGTAAAGCAAATAAAAATTAAAAAAAATTAGAAGAAAAGAAAATATTATTTAGTTCTAGTTTAAAATCAAGCACTACAGACAATAAACAAGTTGGAAACGACAAACCTACTGGGTTTTAATTAAAATAAAAGTAAATTCAAATTCAAAAAAAATTAGAAGAAAAGAAATATTATTTAGTTCTAATTTAAAATCAAAGCACTAAATACAATAAACAAGTTGGGAAACACAAACCTTGTGACCCCTCTGTAAATAGAAGCTCCTCTAGAAAATCCACTACTTTTCCTACAACGTAGAAAAAAAATACATAAACAACCAAATCTTCAAAATACTAACACCAAGAAAATTCCTAAAAAAATAAAAAGTAAACGAAACCATATAGTGTATATCTCCTTAAAAAACTATAAAAAAAGGGTTAAAAATAATAGTACCTTCGAAGAGAAGCAACAAATTCCTGCCTAGTCATGTTCTTCATCTCCCACAATTCCTTCTCATAGTTAGTAACCTTCAAAATTGATAACGAAGTTAGATCAAATATTTTCATCGAACATAAATAAATGAAATATAAATAGATATGTAATAATGAAACAATGTAAATGAATATTTATTGCATGCAGCTGATCTTACTGGAAAGTTTGTGGTGGTGGTCGGACCCCAGTACTTCAGAGCTGCCAGATCGTAGGCTCTTGCTGCTTTTTCTTCTTTATCATAACCACCTACAAATATTCACAAAATTCAAGCAATGTAAATACATATTTATTTATTTAATTACTTTTTCAACAATGAGAATCTAAATAGAAAAGAATCTGACCCATGATGTGATGCATTCATGCAAAGAATAATTGTTGTGCTACAGTAACCAAAATCTGTTGTGAATCTTAAAATTTGATGATCAGGAGCCGGATCCCCTCCGGATCATTTGGAATTGAGCCCACTCATCAAATGATCCGGACCATTAAAATTTTATTAAACGGTTACAATTATTATAATTTTTAGAAGAGCTCCTGTTTGTAGTCATTGAATCAAATTTCAATATATTGGATCATTTGATGAGTAGGCTCAGTTCCAAATGATCCAGAGGGGATCCGATTCCTGATGATCATATCCTTTCATGTACTTGATAATAATGATCTTATTCATAATGGCCATAAATTGGTCGAAGAGGATTCTCTTCCTTTATTCTGCTCTTTTTAAATTTTCTTTCATTTTTTTTCCTACTTGATCAATTACGATTAAACTACGTCTAACATCTTATATAAAAAAAATTTATAGAAAAAAAGAGTCAAAAAGCAAAATGTGAGAAAAAGAGAGAGGAATGCGATGGAAATAATAGGATAGAGAATCTTACTCAGTAAAACGTGAAATTAGTTACTCACCCAAATAAACTGCCGAGGTGAAGTTGATGATGATGATGATTAGAGCATATCCATAAGAGCAATCATTTGCGTCATGTAAATGGCGGACAAAACAAACAACCCACATCACAATCTTTACCAGTCATGAAACTACAAACACAATGCGCACAATAGCAGTGGTATCCACTTCAAACCTAACATGCGCCTAAGGTGTCAAAAGCAAGATGATCCAATCTCAAACTGTGCTCTTTCTTGGGATTGTTCTGATCCTTCTGGATGATCAGAACCGTTCGCTGAAAAAGATCCAGAGGACCCATTTTATCTTGTATCATATATTGTACACCTTAAGCGCACGTTAGAATCACAAAGAACCTTAAAACCCTAGAAGAGATTATTACATAGTAGAAAATGAAAATTACCTTGCCTGCCCTTCCTACTTTGTCCTTCTCTTCTGCAACTGTTATCCCACAGATGCGCTTCATATCTTCCTGTCCACCTATGCCTAAACATTCAAACCCGCGCCACCAACCCCCAAACAAACAAAGATTAGTAACAAGAAGAAAATATTCTCCAAAATTACAATAGTAAAATCATTATAAAAAGTATGAACTTGTGATTAAGTTGTACGTAGCTCTAGTAGTTAGGAGCATTACCGTGTGACGCCTCGGTAAATGGATGTGCGCTGTCCGAAGGTGTCAGTGGGTTTTTTGGGGATGGGATCGGAAGAGGTGAGAGGGTGGTGGTTTTTCGGTTTGGTTGCTTGTAGAGTATCGGTTGTGGTGGTGGTAGCGATTGTGGAGAAACCTCGGAGGAAGCTAGCAGCTATGGTTTTGAGCTCGGGATCGTAAATCCGGTTTTCAGACAAAGCGAGCGGAGCTGTTTGATGATGATGATCAGCAGTAGAAAACTGAGGGAGTGAGGTCCGTGTGACGGTGGTGGTGAAGGTGGTGCAACCTCCGAGAAAGTCCTCAAGCTTTGAGCCGTTCACTCCGGAACTGAAGATGGAGAGGTCAGTTGCTGAAGTTGGACTTGCACCTTGACGATGGTGATCGGCGACAGTACCTGTAAGACCAAAAAAAAGATTGATATAATACATGTGTTAGAAATAAAATAGAGAGAGAGAGAGAGAGAGAGAGAGAGAGAGAGGGAGGGTGATTTTGGGGACCTGCTGAGTGAGTTGGGGAATTGGAGGTGAAGGCCTCGGAGAAGGAGAGATCGTGAGAAGGCTGGTGATGATGAGAGTGGTTGGAAAGAGAGAAGCCGAGGAGCCAGTTCTGAGGAGAAGAATCCATGGTTTTTGTGTTTTTCAATATTAATTTTGATGATAGATAGATAGACATGTGTGATATATGAGAAGTTTGTGGGTTTTCTTTGTCTTTGGAAGGAGAGCTAACAAAATACCCAAGTGAATGTGAAAGTGTGTCAATCAAAGTTAAGTTAAAATGAACACAGATATGGAGGAGGTGATAGCAGAAAACTAGCAGTAGCGGTCGAACTAGAGTATTCTTTAGTATTAGTAGAAGAAGAAAGACGTGAAGAGGTGAGATGAATGAATTGAAAGAGAAAGAGAGTCCTATTAAGGGTTGCACGAGGATCGAGATTCTTTTTAGTGAGAGAGAGAGCAAGGAAAGCAAAGTGGAAGCTTTTGATGGGATGACTAAGCGGTGTCTATTTCTCTCTCTACTTCTTTAGGGAATTTTTTTTTAGTTCGTCTAAAAAATTAGAGCTAATATGGAATATGTATTCTTCTATATTTCACAAAAGGAATTTGCACATGTTATATACAATTTTGAATTGTGCGAAATTAAGAAAATACAAGACATTTAATAAAAGAATAGTTAGATACAATCTTCCAGTAAATGAGAAGATACTCAACGGTGATCATGTGTAACTGCCTGATTTGAATTGTTGATATCTGGTGTAGAGGTTATTTCCATGATTTTAGGAGATTCCCTTTTATGCCCCCGTAAGACGATGGTCCCATCAGAGACACCAATCTTGGACGAGGAAGGGCTTTTGTGAGGACATCTGCAAGTTGATCCTGAGTAGAAACATGTGACATCTGAAGAAGGCCATGATTGACACGATCACGAACAAACTAAAAATCAACGTCAATGTGCTTCATGTAAGAATGAAGGACGGGATTGACATAGTAGAAAGTAGCCCCAATATTGTTGCAAAAAATGGTTGGTTTATCCATTAAAGAGACACCAAGCTCACGGAGGAGGGATTGAACCCAAGCTAGTTCAGCAGTAGTGGAGGCTATGGCGTGGTACTCTACTTCCGTAGACGAACGAGCGACAGAATGTTGTTTGCAAGAACTCCAAGAGATAAATTACCACTAACATAAATAACATAACTAGTAGTGGACTTACGGTTAACACGATCACCAACCCAGTCAGCATCTGAAAAAGCATAGAGACGGGATGAGACACTATGATAGAGGAGAAGACCATGAAAGATAGTGTCTTTCAGATAGCGAATGAGACATTTCAGGGCCTACCAATGAGACTCAGTTGGTCGATGCATGAACTGTGAGAGTTTGTTGACAGTAAATGAGATGTTAGGGCGGGTGAGACTCAGATATTGGAGGCCTCCAACAAGTTGTCGAAAAGTAGTAGCATCAGTGAGGGGAGAGCCATCAGAGAGAACTAAATGATCAGAGGTAGCCATTGGTGTGCTCATATCCTTGGCACCTTCCATTTTAGCTTTAACTAGGAGGTCATGAATATATTTATGTTGAGAAAGAAACAAACCCATGGTGGTGGGTATCAATTCAACTCCAAGGAAATAATGAAGGGTCTCCAAATCTTTAACAGAAAAACGATTGGCCAATGCTTGAATGAATGTAGAGATGAGTCTCTTATGATTTCATGTAACAACAAGATCATAAACATAAACTAGAAATAATAGCACATCACCATCCCAATGAAAAATAAAGAGAAAGGCATCTGAGATAGCATTAACAAATCCTTGATTAAGCAAAAAAGAGCTCAACTCCTTATACCATGATCGGGGTGCCTGCTTGAGGCTATATAAAGCTTTACGGAGTTTGCAAACATAACTTGGAAAATTAGAGTCACTGAATCCGGGAGGTTATGACATATAAAAATCCTCAGAGAGTGAGCCATGCAGAAAAGCATTGTTCACGTCTAATTGACAAAGAGGCTAACCATGAGTGAGAGCCAAATGAAGAACAAGACAAATTATGGTCGGTTTGACAACCAGGCTGAATGTGTCCGAGAAATCCACTCCAGGACACTAGTGAAAGCCTTTAGCAAAAAGGCGTGCTTTGTACCTATCAATACTGCCATCAGAATGCCTTTTTATGTGGAATACCCATTCGCACCTAATAAGATTCTGTGTGGGTTGAGGGGGAACAAGCTCCTAAGTACCATTGCAGATTAAAGCATTGAACTTGTCGGACATGGCTGCACGCCAAAAAGGATCTTTGATAGCCTGAGAAAACACATGTTGGTTCAATGGGATAGGGAAATGGATGTTCGGTGGCGGTGCAAAGTTGTTTGGGTTTAAAAATATTATTTTTGGCTTGAGTGGTCATGGGATGATTGTTTAAATTATTTGGTGGTGGTGGGGGTGGTGGTAAGGGATTGACAGGTAGAGTGAATGGTGATGGTGAGGAAGTAGGGCTGGCAGGTGTAATGATGTTGGTTAGGAGGTAGTATTAGACAATGATAGTGTAGTAAAAAAGGGTTGGGTTAATGATGGGGTGGGTCTGTGGGGTTGTAGGGTAATGAAATTGGCAGGTCGTGTTGGTGGGGAGATGAGGTTAATGTGATGTGTTGTTGAGGAGGTGGGGCATGGGGAATTTAGTGGATGAGCAGCAGCATGTGGTGATGGTGTGGGGGAGAAACACAACGCCAAGACGTCTGATGACATATAAGTAGCAGCATGCTGAGAGGTGGAAGTGGGTGATGGTACATTGGCAACCTAAATAGGAATAATTGTGGCAGAGGGAATGATAGTAGACCATGCTAATGAGTTGGGGGGACAAACTTGAGGAACTACAGAGTCACAAGAAGAGAAGGGAAATGTGTTTTCGTCAAATTGAATGTGACGGGAAACAAACACATGGCGGGAAGAGATATCAAGACATAAATAAGCACTTTGAGTAGAGGAGTAACCAAGAAAGAAACATGGACGAGACCGAGGAAGAAGCTTGTTAAAATTATAGGGTCTTAACTAGGGGAAACATAAGCAACCAAAACCCCGAAGCTTAGTGTAGTTAGGAAGATCACCAAAAAGAGCTTTGTAGGGAGAAATATTATTGAGAACATGAGTGGGCATCCTATTAATAAGATACACAGTAGTTTTGAAAGCATATGACCAATAAGTGATAGGTAAAGATGCTTGATGGAGAAGAGTTAACCCTATTTCGACAACATGTCGGTGGCGGCGTTCAGCAACACCATTGTGTTCAAGAGCGTGTGGAAGAGGGGTGAGATGAGTGATGCCATTGGTGACTAAAAAACTTTTGAATTTAACATATTCTCCCCCACCATCAGAGTATAAGGTGATTATTTTGGTGTGGAAGTAATTTTCAACAAGAGCCTTAAAGGTTGTGAAAATTGATAAAACATCAAATTTGTGTTTCATGGGATAAAACCAAATATATTTTGTGAAATGATCTACAAAGATAACATAGTATGAAAAGCCATTGGTAGATAAATAAGGGGCAAGGCCCTAAACATCACTATAAATTAGTTCAAGGGGACGCTTACTAACAAGTGAAGAATGACCAAACAGGAGCTTGTGGCTCTTATTACAATGACAAGAAGTGCAAATAGATGGATTTGAAGACATAGTAATGGATGAGGTACTTAAAATTTGGAGAAAAGTTCGATGATTGGGGTGACCGAGCCAACAATGCCACAAATTGGAGGAGTCCACCACACCTACCATAGCTTGTATTTGAGATCGGGATATGGGCATCAAGCATGGCCACTTATATGTATCGTCCTTATTCGGGCCTTAAACAAGTGTCGCCCTCGTGTTCAGATCCTTAACAAGAAAGAAATCATGGCAAAGTTCAATAAAGGTTGCATTTTTTTTATTAAATTTAGCAATGGAAATTATATCACGCGAAATGGAAGGAACACACAGGACATCATATAATCGAAAAAGTGTGGTGGAGGGAGAGGGGATGATGTGGAACCAACATGGGTAAAACTCAAACCTTTTCCATTACCAATAATAATTTCATCTGGGCCATCATAGGAGGTGGAATCCGAGATGTTCCTGGAATCAAAAGTGACATAATGAAAAGCACCCGAATCTAGCATCCAAGCAAAAGATGTGGAGGAGCGGGCAGTGGTGTGGTTGACCATAGGTGGAGCGAAGGAGCTTGAAGAAAGATGAGGGTAGCGTTTGGCACTATGCCCTTGAGTGCCACACCATTGGCAAAAACCACGATATCCCGTGCTAGAACGCTGATTATTAGTGGTGTTGTTGTTGTAGTGGTTAGCACGATGAGAATTGTTGGCGATATTATTTGAACGTTGGTTGGAGGCTTGTGTGGATCACGAGCCGCAGTGGGTGAAGCAGGAATTTTGAGCAACAAGGGTAGTCATAGGTGCTACAACATCTGTTGTAGTATCCCGTTTGATGAAAGCTTCATGTTCAATGAGTTTGTCATACAAATTCTCAAAGGAGATGAAGGTATCACTAGCCCGAACAATGACAGCGATTTCTTTAAAGTCGGGTCCAACACCATTGAGAACATGTAGAACAATATCATCATCAAAGATTGGGACATCAATAATGGCAAGCTCATCAATGATGGCTTTGACAACTTGTAGAAAAACAGACACAGGCTGTGTATCACGATGCATGAGCGTAAGACACTCTTTTAGAGTTAGAACCCGATAGTGTGTTTTGTTAGCATAAAGCTTGATCAGCTTGTTCCAAGCATCCTTAGAGGTTTTGGAGGAGGCAATGAAAGATATGACATGATCAGAGACAGAGGCTAAAAAGCGTGTAGGAGCAGCTAATCTTGACAAATCCAAAAATTATAGGACATAGCAGAGGAGGTAGCAAGACATGGTTTGATCCATCAATATAACCCATCAAGTCATACCTAAGAAGTAGGGCATTGAATTGAGCTCGCCATGAAGGAAAGTTGGTGGGTGTGAGTTTGAGAGGCAATTGAGCTAATATGGAATGTGTATTTTTGTATATTTCACAAAAGGAATTTACATGTGTTATTACAATTTTGAATTGTGCCAAATTAAGAAAATACAAGATGATGCGAGAATTACTTGACACTCAAATTAAACCCTCGTTTGACAATTGTAGTAGAATGGATAAGTGAGGGATCGTTCTAGACCGGGGATTAGGAGGGCTTGCTAAAACCTTCTAAATTGACTTAAAAACGTAAAAATAATATAAAACACTAAACTAGACTCAAAGAATGTGAAACTAAACGTTAAAACACTAAGACAAACCAAAAGAATCAAAATGCTTTAAAAACACAAACTAAATTGATTTCTAACTATATTGAAC